ACTTCAAGTAACTTGTTAGCTATGGGTTGGCGGTCAGTGCTTCAGTGGCTTTGCAAATGCTTTTGGATGGAAATGTAGGCACTTTTGGGGTTCGGCAACCGCTAAGTGCTGGTTTCGAGAATGTTAGCGGTGGACTTAGGCACCAAAATTCCTTTGAAAATTTGAGACCTACCTCCCCAGTGGTATTGCTAAGGGTTAATTCATAATTGGTTGTGCTTCTGTTTGGTGATCTCAGATGTGTTATAAAATTTCAACTACTTCCTATAAAATAAAATCTCCATGTCTCTTGTTGGGCGCAACTTTTTGCCTAGATGAGGCCATGTGTGTGACTGCTCATTTGAATAGTTTCCTTGATGTTACATACCTGTGTATGCAGTTTCAAGTTCTCTGGGGCAGATTCTTGTCATGCATGCCTTTAAAGACCCTAGAACATTTTTGAGAGCTCTACAATAATAAAGGGAGAGAAAAATATTCACTACTTCCTAAATGAAATCCATTAAATTGCAGCACAGTCACCAGAGAGAGCTATATTTAAAGACTTTCTTTTGATATAATTTTTTCCCTAAAGAATCTATTGCAATTCTAGTTCTTAAAGCTACAGTTAAAGAACGGCAGTCACCTCTATTTTGGAATCATTTTGTGCTGGTTTTTTTGAGCCAAAGGTCACATAAAAAGTGCACCAGAGATTTAATATTGGAATCTTAAGATGACTTGCAACTTGTCTCTGAGAACTCTGATTGTGCTAAGATATTCTTGTTTGGTGGCTGAGGCAAAACTAGCTATCTGGTGTGACAGAATGCGTTTGGCAGTGTTCCAAAACTACATCATTCCTAAAGCAAGAGATAAAATAATTAGCATATTTATCTGAACACTTGAGCCTTTACAAAACCATGTTTCAAAAAGTGAAGAGTAATTTTTAAAGGATCATTAAAGGGAACCTGATCCCAAAGCAGTTAAAATGAAATACCACTGCAGCATCTGTGGATTCTAATACTATAATGGCTACAGAGTCAATAGCTATTGAATCCCAAATGCAGTCCCATTCATTCAAATGGTGACTTTCATACTAGTTTGGTATAGTTTTATCCTGATCCCACTTGAATTTTGCTATTTAAGCGGGAGCATGACTGGACCGTTTAGATTATAAGGAACTTACTCCGTAAAGATATTACTGTGATCTGGGTGAACCCTCAAAACATCACTATGGGGTTCTGTCACTATCTGCCTTGTGTCCATGGGTTTCCCTATACTGGGCAGATTTGGTTCAGAGTGCTGACACCAGCAATGTGCTCATAACACAATGGTCTCATCCTGACTTCACCGCTCCACTTACGCCTTGCAGATGACCCCAACAACACATTGGGTACCAAGCCTCCTCGAAATCATCTCTCCTGCATTTTCCAGTTCCTCCTACTGGACACTCACAGAGGTAACACCAACTTCACTGCCTCCAAAGAGTCAGTACACACAACCACTTGTTATCTCAGCAGGGGTTATACATTTCACCTGAATATTCAGCACTGAAATGCTTTGTAGTAACACTAAGAATACGTTTATTAACACAGAAAATAGATTCAAGTGATTTCAAGCAAGAATGAAAGAGATATGAAAAGGTTATCAACAAAACAAAAATAGCCCTTTTGCTAGTGTCTAGAACTTAATTCTAGAAAGATGTAGCTTTGTTTAGCATAGTTTCTTATTCACATCAAGTTGTCAGCATGTTCCAGTCTGTTTTGGCAGGAGAACCAATCTTTCATAAATACAAAGCACTGTTCTTCTTGGTTCTCTCAGGTGACGGATGACTTGAATGTCTCTTTGCTCCTTATATTACGCCAGAGTTCATTGTCTCTGTTTCAAGAGCCAGGAAGGCTTCCTGGGTGTGCAGATTCCATTCCTCCATCATGATCATAAAGCAGTAATCTCTGCAGACTCCATTCCTCCATCATGATCTTTAAGCAGTCATCTCCCCCACTTGCTAACGTGATGGCTTTGTTGACCTTACATGAAAATGTACTTTTCATTGTCCTCTGTGATCAGTCTGGTCACACAAGTACATATGCATTCCTTTCTCAAAGGCAGGGTAGGCTTTTTGTGCTGCCTGCCAAACACATTTTAATTACAGATTTCCAGCATGCCTTTAAAACTCTTTGTACATACATCATGCAATAATTTTCAGGACCAGCATGATACCAGTTTGTATATGATACTTTACATGACACTTTTGAGATACAGATGATGACAATAGTGTGTTGGGACAATGAGTGTGTCAGGCCTGATGTGAGTCATGGCTTGGTTTGCCCTCTGCCAGTGTACTACCTACTCAAGATTCTCTAACAGATCTTAGCATGAGAACTCCCTAGTGAGGCTGGTCAAATATTTTCCATCTAAACTGTTTTTTGATGGAAAATTTAGTTTTGGATGAAGAAATTTTCTGCCACATAATCTTTCAACTTTTCCTCAAACTGAACACACAAAAACTGATATTTTTAATTTGGAAATGCCATCATAGTGCCTCATGAGAGTTGTAGTTTGTTTCCTCATGCCCGCCATTGCCCAGGTTACTCAGCAGGACTACATCTCCGATGACATACCATGGCAAGGGACTCATACCAGGGCCATGGCCTCAGCAAAAGGGGAATCCATGGTGCATCAAACAAGGTGTAGTCTGGTCTGGGAACCCAGCCCACAGAGGACAATAGGGCCATACAAACTACAGCTCCTGTGAGACCCCACTGTAACGTTTTTAAATCCAAATGTTCAATTTTGAGTTAAGAATTTTCAGTGTACATTTTTCAACTTTTGATTATTTTTCTTTTTCTGAAAAATCAGAAATATCCCATTATCTGACAAGCTCTGAAGGCTATTTATTTGTTAAGGACAGTTGTAGGGGAATGGCAACTATGGATATATGCTAGGCAACATTGCCAGATTGTACCTGGTCTTCTGAGGAGGCCATGAAGTCCTCATTGTCGGCTTGGATTCATACCCCTTGTCCTTGGTGAAACTATTGACCCAGTTGGAACACTCTTCATCCTTCAGCTGATTCTTGAACCCATGAGGTCAACGCTCTCTCTGAGCAAAAACCTCTGGCCTTACCATCAATATTGCTAGTGCCAGAGGCTCTGGTATAACCAATATCTACATTTCCTGAAGCCCTTTCAGGGCTCTAGGCCCCCTTATCAGCTAGGTACAATAGGTCCCTCTCTCTTGTTAGGTATTATTTTATTTTAAGGAAATAAGGAGCTACTACTTAAGGACATTAAGGAAAGTTTAATTTAGTTTATATTATTTCCTGGATTTTTTTCCCCTTTCCTGTAAATGATACCACATTCTAGATCTCAACTGCAAACCAAGAAGCAGATTGTGAACATAAATTGGCTAAGGTTTTAACACCTATGTAAATCACAAGTGCTGTGAGAAAACACTAAGCAGGATGATATTTCTGACTTTTTTTTTTTTTAATAAAAGATTGCTAGGAAAATGATCAAAGAAACTTTCTGAATAAGGTGCTTTTTCTCTTATCCTGTGTCTCTATATGTGGAAACTTGTGATAGCGCAATCTGATACATTTCAGAGACAAAAGTACTGCTCTTCATGTGTCTTGTCACAAAGAACAAAGTGTGGTTCATAGCCCTGTGTGCATATTTGGTTTCACCTTTAAAATTAATTGATCTCTTTTATTTAAACATAATTCATAGGTCTCTGTTGTTTTTGTTCTCTTTTTTTGCATTCAATCCACATTTTCTATCTTTCTATAGTACCTATTCGTCTCTCTTTCAGAGATTTTTTGCTCGCATTTCCTTTTGTCTTTTCTTTCCTGTTATGCATTCTCTCCTATCTTTACTCACTCTCTTGTATTGTGTCATCGCCAATTGCTCTCCTTCCATCTTATCCATCTCTTGCACCCTTTCAATCTCAGTATTTCTGTCTGTACCTTCCTCTTTGATCTGTGTTTTCTACTCAATAAAGCCCTATTTCCCCATCCATCACTCATCCCCCATATATGTCCACTCATTTTCATACCACATATGTCCTCTCTCCCCACATACACACTCATCACTCATCCATTCTTTTCCACACACTCATACTCATTCTTTTCCCTCAAATCCACAGTGTATCTCTTTCCCACATCCAGCAACTCTTATGCATCCATTCATCATTTACTTTCCCTCCACTGTCCAATCTACTCTGTCATACCAACCACGTGCAACTGCTACTGTGTATGGAAGAAAGTACTCTTGGAGGTGGGTATGTTAGCTTGGGATCTTTTTCTCAGCTGTTTACTCAAGCTGTTTGCTGGGATCAGGATGAACTTAAGATTAAATAGATTTTCTCACATATTGAATACATGAAGTATATAATAAAAATCTAGAGTTGTCTGAAGCATTTAAAACTTTATATTAAAATAATCCAACCAGTCCAGCAAACCATTATAGATATGTTTTATTTTAATTCCATCTGAAATTAACAGGATTACTAATGTGCTTAACGTTCAGCTCATGGCCAGTTGTTTTTTTAACAAATGGGGCAATTCAGAGCAATTGCATCCTTATTTTAAAAGGGGAGAAAACACTTGTCTCAGGTAATAATTAGTAGAGCTTGTGGTAGCATATACTTCTACTGATGCAGTGAAGTACAGAGGTTGTGAAAAATGCTTTGCCCATATAAATTAATGAAACAAATGACCCATTTAAATCAAAATCTGTAGAGGTGGCAGTCATGTATTTTCTCCAGGTTAGGAGTCAAGTTATAGACATGAAATGGGGTGTGTCTGCTTTCTACATCTATATGTGAGGCCCTGAGCCTGCAAAGAGAACCACATGAGCAGCCCCCATGCCGAGACAGAGTCCCAGTGAAGTCAGAATTGTGGCCTTAGTGTGTGGGTTTCCTTTGTATATTATAAACATTCAGAAAATCTTATTCCATTTGTTTATTCACCTATTGATGTCATTTTTAGAGTTGTGAAAACTTTATATAATTATCGGTGGTTGTCATTTAAGCAGATGGATCAACCAGCTGTGAAATCGGACAGGATCAAGGGCTGCAAACCTGAAAGTGTGATATCCTGTAAAGTGCCACTGAAGCCTACATACACCAGATGGTCTGTGAGCTGAAGAGAAATGGCTTTCTAAATAAAGTTTCCAACATGTGACTGTTGATATGTTGCTATAAGTTTTCCCTCAATCAGCTTTTTATTCACAAATCAGTTTACATGGCCAAAATAAAGAGAGGGCTGATGGTCTTGTGATTAAAGCACTAGACTAAGACTCAGGAGAACTAGATTCTGTTCTTGATTCTACCACAGACTTCTCTGTGACCTTGAACAAGTCAGTTAATTTCTTGGTGCCTGAGTTCCCCATTTGTAATGTGAGGATGATAGTAATACTTTTCTCTGCTTCATGGGAGTGCTAGAATTAATCTATTAATGTATGTGAGTCTCAGCAGGTAGGGTTGTGGGCACCCTAGAAACACACGCTAAATAAAACAAATAAATAAAATATGTCCTTGAATGTCTACAAAGGCTTGGAAATGGCACTCTTTGCAATTTAACATACACATGTGATGCTACCATCATGGCTATACAAAACTGTTTGCTAAAATGTTACCGCAAAATAAAATTTCCATGAGTTCCCCCCCCCCCCAAAAAAATCTTCTTACTGAAATATGTGAAATTTCATATATTTTTTTCAAGATTCAGTGCAAAATAGATTTTTATCACAATTCTATTTCTTATGTTGAAAGGGGTTTCCTTACCTTTCGTGTGTGGGGGGGGGTTGGGGTTTGGGTTTACCGGGGCTTTCAAGCTATTAAAAAAATTGCCATGATTAATCACATGATTAAAAAAATTAATCACAATTAATTGCACTGTTAATAATAGAATACATTTATTTAAATATTTTGGATGTTTTCTACATTTTCAGACGTTGATTTCAAATACAACACAAAATACAAAGTGTACAGTGATCACTTTATATTTTTATTACAAATATTTGCACTGTAAAAAACAAAACTTACAAATGTAGATTTATGTACAAAAAAAACTGCATTCAAAAATTAAATAATGTAAAACTTTAAAGCCTACAAGTCCACTCAGTCCTACTTCAGCCAATGGCTCAGACAAACAAATTAGGTGACAATTTGCAGGAGATAATGCTGCCTGCTTCTTGTTTACAATGTCACCTGAAAATGAGAACGGGAGTTTGCATGACACTGTTGTAGCCGGTGTCGCAAGATATTTACGTGCCAGATGTGCTAAAGATTCATATGTACCTTGATGCTTCAACCACCATTCCAGAGGACATGCATCCATGCTGATGACAGGTTCTGCTTGATAATGATCCAAAGCAGAGCAGACCGACGCATGTTCATTTTCATTATCTGAATAAGATGACACCAGCAGAAGACTGGTTTTCTCTTTTGGTGGATTGGGTTCTGTAGTTTCCACATCTGAGTGTTGCTCTTTTAAGACTTCTGAAAGCATGCTCCACACCTCATCCCTCTCAGATTTTGGGTAGCACTGCAGATTCTTAAATCTTGGGTCAAGTGCTGCAGCTATTTTTAGAAATCTCACATTGGTACCTTCTTTGTGTTTTGTCAAATCTGCTGTGAAAGTGTTCTTAAAATCAAAATGTGCTAGGTCACCGTCCGAGACTGCTATAACATGAAATATATGGCAGAATGCAGGTAAAACATAACAGGAGACATAGAATTCTCCCCCAAAAAATTCAGTCACAAATTTAATTAACACATCATTTTCTTAACAAGCCTCGTCAGCATGGAAGCATGTCCTCCGGAATGGTGGCCAAAGCATATGGGGCATACAAATGTTCAGCATATCTGTCATGTAAATATCTTGCAATGCTGGCTACCAAGGTGCCACGTGAACACCTGTTCTCATTTTCAGATGACATTGTGAATAAGAAGCAGTCAGCATTATCTCCCATAAATGAAAACAAACTTGTTTATCTTAGCGATTGGCTGAAGAAGAAGTAGGACTGAGTGGAGTTACAGGCTCTGAAGTTTGACACTGGGTGTTTTTTTTTAGAGTGGTTATGTAACAAAATAATGTATATTTGTAAGTTACACTTTCACGATAAAGAGACTGCACTACAGTACTTGTATGAGGTGTATTGAAAAATACTATTATTTTGTTTAGCATTTATACAGTGCAAATATTTGTAATCAAAAATAATAAGTGAGCAGTGTGCACTTTGTATGCTGAGTGGATGAGATGATGGTGTAGAGAGGAGGGGTTTAGATTTATTAGGAACTGGGGAAACTTATGCGATAGGGGGAGCCTATACAGGAAGGATGGGCTCCACCTAAACCAAAGTGGATCCAGACTGCTGGCACTTAACATTAAAAAGGTTGCAGAGTAGTTTTTAAACTAAGAGATGGGGAAAGCTGATTGCTGCAGAGGCACACATGGATCGGACAGAGACTTCTCTTAGAGGAGAATCTATTGATAGAGATTCTCTAGGTTTTAGTCAGGAGGAGAGGATGGAAGAGGATAAAGTATGGGCCAGATCAGATGAGAAACAATCACATAAAAAAGAATCTGACACATCAGAAAAGGGCAGACAAATAAACAGTGACAAGTTTTTAAAGTGCTTGTACACAAATGCTAGAAGTCTAAATAATAAGATGGGTGAACTAGAGTCCCTCGTGTTAAAGGAGGATATTGATATAATAGGCATCACAGAAACCTGGCGGAGTGAGGACAATCAATGGGACACAATCATTCCGGGGTACAAAATATATCAGAAGGACAGAACAGGTCATGCGGAGGAGGGGGGGAGGAATGGCACTATATGTGAAAGAAAATATAGACTCAAATGAAGTAAAAATCTTAAATGAATCCACATATTCCATAGAATCTCTATGGATAGTAATTCCATGCTCTAATAAGAATATAACAGTAGGGATCTACTATCAACCACCTGACCAGGACAGTGATAGTGACGATGAAATGCTAAGGGAGATTAGAGAGGCTATCAAAATAAAGAACTCAATAATAGTGCGGGATTTCAATTATCCCCATATTGACTGCATACATGTTACCTCAGGATGAAATGCAGAGACAAAATCTGTCGATACTTTAAATGACTGCTTCTTGCAGCAGCTGGTACAGGAACCCAAAAGGGGAGAGGCAATTCTCGATCTAGTCCTGAGTGGAGCACAGGATTTGGTCCAAGAGGTAACTATAACAGGACTGCTTGGAAATAGTGACCATAATATAATAACATTTAGCATTCCTGTGGTGGGAAGAACACCTCAGCAGCCCAACAATGTGGCATTTAATTTCAGAAAGGGGAACTATGCAAAAATGAGGTTAGTTAAACAGAAATTAAAAGATACCGTGACTAGAATGAATCTCTGCAAGCTGCATGGACACTTTTCAAAGACACCATAAGAGAGGCCCAACTTAAATGTATACCCCAAATTAAAAAGCACAGTAAAAGAACTAAAAAAGAGCCACCGTGACTGAAGAACCATGTAAAAGAAGCAGTGAGAGATAAAAAGGCATCTTTTAAAAAGTGGAAGTCAAATCCTAGTGAGATAAATAGAAAGGAGCATAAACACTGTCAAATTAACTGGAAAGATGTAATAAGAAAAGCCAAAAAGGAGTTTGAAGAATAGCTAGCTAAAAACTCAAAAGGTAATAACAAAATGTTTTTTAAGTACATCAGAAGCAGGAAGCCTGCTAAACAACCAGTGGGGCCCCTGGACGATCGAGATAAAAAAGGAGCGCTTAAAGCTGATAAAGTCATTGCGGAGAAATTAAATGAATTCTTTGCTTCAGTCTTCATGGCTGAGGATGTTAGGGAGATTCCCAAACCTGAGCCGTCCTTTGTAGGTGACAAATCTGAGGAATTGTCACAGATTGAAGTGTCACTAGAGGAGGTTTTGGAATTAATTGAGAAACTTAACAGTAACAAATCACCGGGACCAGATGGCATTCACCCAAGAGTTCTGAAAGAACTCAAATGTGAAATTGCGGAACTATTAACTATGGTTTGTAACCTGTCCTTTAAATCAGCTACTGTACCCAATGACTGGAAGATAGCTAATGTAACGCCAATATTTAAAAAGGGCTCTATAGGTGATCCCAGCAATTACAGACTGATAAGTCTAACGTCAGTACTGGGCAAATTAGTTGAAACAATAGTAAAGAATAAAATTGTCAGACGCATAGAAGAACATAAATTGGTGGGCAAAAGTCAGCATGGTTTCTGTAAAGGGAAATCATGTCTTACTAATCTATCAGAGTTCTTTGAAGGGGTCAACAAACATGTGGACAAGGGAGATCCAGTGGACATAGTGTACTTAGGTTTCCAGAAAGTCTTTGACAAGGTCACTCACCAAAGGCTCTTACATAAATTAAGTTGTCATGGGGTAAGAGGGAAGATCCTTTCATGGATTGAGAACTGGTTAACAGACAGGGAACAAAGGAATAAATGATAAATTTTCAGAATGGAGAGGGTAACTAGTGGTGTTCCCCAAGGGTCAGTCCTAGGACCAATCCTATTCAACTTATTCATAAACGATCTGGAGAAAGGGGTAAACAGCGAGGTGGCAAAGTTTGCAGACAATACTAAACTGCTCAAGATAGTTAAGACCAAAGCAGACTGTGAAGAACTTCAAAAGGATCTCACAAAACTAAGTGACTGGGCAACAAAATGGCAAATGAAATTTAATGTGGATAAATGTAAAGTAATGCACATTGGAAAAAATAACCCCAACTATACATACAATATGATGGGGGCTAGTTTAGCTACAACTAATTAGGAAAGAGATCTTGGAGTCATCGTGGCTGGTTCTCTGAAGACATCCATGCGGTGTGCAGCAGCAGTCAAAAAAAGAAACAGGATGTTAGGAATCATTAAAAAAGAGATGGAGAATAAGACAGAGAATATCTTATTGTCCTTATATAAATCCATGGTATGCCCACATCTTGAATACTACATACAGATGTGGTCCTCTCATCTCAAAAAAAGATATACTGGCATTAGAAAAGGTTCAGAGAAGGGCAACTAAAATGGTTAGGGGTTTGGAACGGGTCCCATATCAGGAGATATTAAAGAGACTAGGACTTTTCAGCTTGGAAAAGAGGAAACTAAGGGGGGATAGGATAGAGGTATATAAAATCAT